CGTTGACGAAATCATAATAAATTTCAGTCATGTTCCACTGCCTCAGTTCAGATAACAAGTTAAGAGCTAATGAATCTGAACTAACTATGGTTGTCTAAGGAAATTGTTGCAAACAGCATATGAAGTTTCAAGAGTCTTTTTCAAATAGGATATAAGGAATTCTTAGCTTTTAATTACCATGTTCCGCATTTTTATAGCCACTAAATGGAATCGAATTTAAAAAAAAGATTTCAGATGTGCACTCGTCGCAGTCACATGATTCTGGCAAACCTTTTCTCATTTCGAAACGATAGTTTGGTGTGGAGAAAGAGTAGCTGACTTCAGTCGTGACTAATGCATCAAGAAAGTTATAATGAGCCGCACTATATAAAGAAGAATTGGTCATGGCGACCAAGCGAGTGAAAAGCAGTAGGTCGGTTACTACACTTTGTGCATTCAGCCGTATTTTAATCAACGGAATAAACGGAGGTTTACGGTGCAATTTGAAAAATTCAGGACTTGAAAAGTTTGATTCACAGGACTCAAATATGGATGAATTGCAGATTTATTGTACTGTTTTGAGGAAAAAATTGACCAAAATTTTTTATTCGATTTTAGAGATTCTGAGTAGCACATCTTGGTCCACTATATGAGAGAAGACTATATATAAATTTGCCCAACTACCACTCTTAAATTAGTCAAGCTACAAGAGTTTTTAAAAACATATAATAACAAGGCAAATGTGAGTTTTTCAAATATTTGAATAAATTCATGAAACTACGAATTTACTCAGATATGTTCATAATACGTTAGAATGGGCGTAGAGAGAGCTTTATATATACAGTAGCACATATAAACATGCCACTCAAAGTAGGCTGGTTCGACTTCTGTGACTCTCATACTATATTATAAATTTTGTAGTGCAGCCCACGTCGCTATAAACGTATGATTAGTATCGTCAGATATTGAAGCAAAACTGAAACAATCATCTTTTTTCCAGACATAAGCACTTAAAATTGAAATATGCTGTTCGTAATAATATGATCCTAAAAGAAATGTTATCATTATCATTTATGATCAATCTTTGAAGGAGTAAATCATGCAATACAATCAAGCGAACACGATTCCATTCCGATACCAAGAGCATTTAAGCTTTAACATTGGAATCGAGTAATCAATCACTTACCTTTTTCTTGTCGCGCTTGTTTCAGTTTGAAGTTTTCCGACCAATCTAAATGTATTGCGACTGTATCTTCCTGTTCCGTAGCAGCTTGCTTTGCTTGTTTAGCAGCTCGAAATTGTTGACGTACACGATCAATATGTGATACTAAATTCTAAACATTATAAAAAATTTATTGTTTATTGGTATAAAATAAATGCATATATGATTTTCCTCCCTATAAAGTTCCACTCGTGCAACAAAAAACATATCTAATAGTGAAAATCGCCTCATACGACAAATAGTGTTTATGATTAAACTCTATGCACTTACATTGATTTCGTTTAAAAATTTCGTTGTAAAATCAAAAATAGATATTGTAAGGGTTGTTTTTGTTGATACAGGTACATCAGATTTAGAATGTTTTTTCTTTGTCCATTCAGTATATGTAATATTAAATTTTTCATCTTTAAGTTTAATCAAATTATCTAAAAATTCTTTTGTTTTGATTTCATCTGTAACTAACTCGGTTATATCAGCTAAACCATCAGGAAGTATTGTCTTAAGAACTGGATATAAAAATTTCAAACGTTGTAGCTTTTCAAGTTTGAGCTGTGGGTTCAAACAAATAATACATAAACAAGTACCCCAATCATCAGTACTTGGTTTCAGCACATGATCAGGAATATAACGTGTGAATGTTGAATAATGGCAGTTAAGACCAGATTCCATTATAAAACGTTGATGAATAGTAGACAAATGATTTAATAGACAAGTAACGTTCATCGGCAAGCGATTCACTTAGCCCTAGACTGATAGAATACATGTACGGATATAATAGCATAAAAAGCTACACAAAAAAAGTAATACGCAAAATTGATAATATAACCAGTATATCTTAGGCTAGCAGAAAACTTAATTCGGAGAATTCTCACTCTAAGTAAAGATAATGCATTTTACAAATTTAATTTTTTTTGTCATTTTTGTTTTATTTTTTTTTGCTTTTATAAATATAAATAGCGCTCAATAAGATTAGACAAGAATACGATTTTTTTTGTAATTATATTGGCGCTATTTGTACGTACAAAAATATGAATTATATTATTCATAAAATTTGAGTTTTATTAATCAATATTTTATGCTTCAATTCGCGCATTAATTCTAAACTATTAATAAATTAGATATTCATTGATACAACATTGCACAATCAATCCTACAATAATGAATACTTTAAACGATTTCTTTAAATCCATACTGCTCATTTGGTCTGACTCTGACTAATTAAATGCTTTTGTAAGCCGTTTTACACCACTACCCGAATTATAGTTATTTCATTGACACCTTTTATCGATGATTATTATGGGTTCATTTACATCAGTCTTTAGATGGTCATTTGAGCCATAGTTACCGGAATAGTTGTTTGTACCATGGTTGCTATATGGTCATTTGTGCCATAGTTACCGGAATAGTTGTTTGTACCATGGTTGCTATATG